ATACTGTCTTAAAAAGATGCCAAGCAGGAGTCTTCCATATGAACAATTATAAAGGAAAAGGAATAAGATCAGTAGTCAACAAAAGCCTTAAGTTGTGCTTTAATATTTTTTTATTTTCTATGGAAGAATAGAAGGCTAAAAGGATTGGTAGTGGTTATTGCTGGAAAAGTGATGGTGTGAGTATACAACTAAGCTCATACAATTAAGCATACAACTGCTTAATAGTATAGCAGAGACAAGGGTTTCATTAATATCTGTCCTTTGGGCCCAGAACACAACACAACAGGCATTGGCAGGGGCTTTTTCTTAATCAACTTAACGTAGATCTGGTTTAAGCACAATAACAAACTGTTTTCCATAATGTAGGACAGCCCTTTGATGTCTCCATGGTATTACTACCTGAAGCTGGTATAAACAGTCTTGCATTTTATGAAATTAACAAGACACACATTTGATAGATGTAAAAACTGGCTTGCTGATGGAACTGAAAACTTAGCTGTTAATAGGGAGATACAAGTGAGGGGAAGGCTTTTTGTAGTGTCTTTCAGGGATCAGTCCTTGGTGCTGTTCACTTGTTTCTATCAATGGTCTATCATTTTGCAGATGGTAAATGGTGGAGAACAGGTTATAGTAATGGTGATCTGAGTCACCTTGTTATAAAGTCACAGGTCAGCAAAATGTATTTTAATATAGCCAAATTCAGGGTAAGAGATCTTCAAGCAAAGCATCTAAGTGTGCAGAATAGGAGACTCCCTCGGAAAGTAGTGACTCTGGACCTTGGGTTATTGTAGGTAACAGTCTTAATATGAATTCCTACCAGACTAGAAGGAGTCAGAAGATCCATGGATGCATTTAAAAAACTAGGGAAGCAATCTTGCCTTTGTACAGTGCTGGTAATGCCATATCCAGGTCTGGTGCCAGATTTCACAAAAGATCAGAAAATACTACAGCAGTGACTCAGCCAAGGTACAGGGGCAGCCTGGGGGGCTGACAGGTATTTTGAAGGGTGCCATGCAGTGTGAGGATATAAGCAGGTAAGAGCAGACTTAGGCTTGTCCCTCCCTGGATGATCCCCCATCCCCACTGCCAGGCCCCTCTGTGAAGAAATAGGCACTGTAACCTATAAACTAGCTTTTGAAATTGGGTGTCACTCACTTCACAAAGGTTATGGAGGGTTGCCTCAAGCCCAGTGACGGGTGCCTTGAGTCCAAAAAAGCTCAGAACAATAGCACTAGAGACCTCAAAGAGGAGCCACAGAAATGAATCGCGAGCAGGATGGCAAACCTTACCATGTGAGGCTAGAGGGGCATAGTCTCCTCAGTTTGTTGAAGTTAAGAGAGGATTTGCTCACTATGTAGGCATTATATATGGAAATAATAACATAATATTGGGGACTTTTCACTCTTACAAAGTTATAAAAGTGGCTGGAAACTGACAGTAATTAAATGCCATTTCCTGGCAGTGAGGACACTAGAACAGCTTGCTAGGGAAATGGTGGCTTCACCACGGCTTGAAGACTGTAAGAAGTGATTAGATCTCTTCCCAGAAGACACTCTGGGGAAACTGTGATCTGCATGTACAAGGCAGGAAGCCTGGTCCAGTGATGAAACCTGGTTATTTCTGGCCTTCCAATGTATGAAAGTCTAAGTAGTCTGCAGTAGGGTTGGAGTGTTGTGGCTCTGTTAGTCTAAGAAATATGTGAGAAGCAAGAATTGTTTTGGTTTATCTTTTAGACCATTTGAATGTCAAATTTAAAGAATCACTGCAGGCCCTTCTCTTCCCCCCCACCCACCCTGCCCTTGCTTCTTGAATAGTCTGTAAGTGCCTTTGTCAACAAGATGATGTTGGTTGTAGCTGTGTTGGTCTAAGGACATAGACAGGAAAGGTTCTTTGGCTAGATGTGATATCTTTTATTAGACCAACTAACTAGTTGGAAAAAAGTTCTTGGCAAGCTTTCAGGCAAGCTTTCAAAAGCTTGCATATAACTTTTTTCCAACTAGTTAGTTGGTCTAATAAAAGATATCTACCCAAAGAGCCTTGCCTGCCTTCATCAATAAGATGACTCGTCACATTGCATGTCCTTTTTCCTGCAGGTTGTCCATCCTTTTTATGCCTACTGGCAAAGTTTCTGTACACAAAAGAACTTTGCATGGAAGGAAGAGTATGACACACGGCAGGCGTCAAACCGCTGGGAGAAGCGAGCTATGGAAAAAGAGAACAAGAAAACGAGAGACAAAGCCAGAAAGGAGAGGAATGAACTGGTGCGGGAGCTTGTGGCTTTTATCCGCAAAAGGGATAAGAGAGTTCAAGCCCACAGGAAACTTTTAGAAGAACAGAATGCAGAAAAAGCGAAGAAGACAGAGCAATTCTGGAAACAGCAGAAGCTCAGACAAGCTAAGTATGTAAACTTTTAGGGAAGCATTTCGTACCTTGAAAAAACAATTGTGAAGGAGTCAAATTTGGTTCAGTTT